TGGCAGCTGGTACCATGAGAGGTCACTTTACATGCCTCACTACTAAGGCAATGCTCTGTATCTCTTTGAAAATTGGGGTTACGTCAGGAATAAGGAAACAGTCTTTTTCTAGGTAGTTATCAGAAAAAAAAAGATGGGCAAAATACCACTATTTGAGGTTTAAACCGCCCTTTATCCCTTCTCTTTTCAGTCATCAAATTGCTTACAACTTCCTCCTCTGGTCAGATCTCACTGGAAATACTGCTCAGTCCTTTAAGAGCATCTCAGGTGATGAAAGGACTGGAGCCTCTCTCCCATGAAGAAAGGCTGAGAGATTTGGGACTGCTCAGCCCAGAGAAGAGATGACCTCCAGAGGTCCCTTCCAGTCTCAACTGTTCTGTGACTCTGCAACATGTTAATGTAATTGTAGAGTAAAAGTAGAGCCTGGCTAATTCCTTCACCAGAGGAATATGAAATACACTGGCTAATCACTAATGAGATAATTAAATGTATAAATCACACTAAAATTCTCTTCTCGTCCAGTTCTTATAAGTATTAGCATGATTACTTCCTTCTTTTCACTCCTATGATTTTCAATATGTTCCAAAACATTCAGTCTCATGGGCTAATTAGCAGTTTAAGTACTTTGATTTAGCAGAGCATTTCAGAATAGAAAAAAAAACAAACAAACCAAAAAAACAAACCCACCATATTTTAACACCATCTGGTACTTTTTCAGTACTTATTTTATATCACTAAACTTCTGGCTTTTTTTCACTGCAATTATCTTCTGAAACTGCTGATTCATTTATAGTTTGAAACAAAAAGAAGATCCTGAAATGACTTACTCTGAAGCCTCCATGGCTTCAAATGTGAGAGAAGAGCAAAAGTTATCACACAAAAGATAAACTTTATAATCCCACAAACTTCTTACCTTGTCAATCTGTTGCCCTGGAATTCACACCTGTTGGTACAAACTATGAGATTGTGCAGACAGCGCAAGAGGGTTGTGAATCATTGGTTTGTAAGGGGCATTGTTATCCCAAGAACAACCCTCTGCTCCTCCTAATTACTTCCCTGCAACTTCATCTTTTGTCTGACATTTCCAGTGCAGATACCTTATCACTTTAAAAAACCAAAAAAAAAAAAAAAAAAAAAAAAAAACCAACCAAAAAAAAAAAAAAAAAAAAAAAAAAAAAAAAAAAAAAAAAAAAAAAAAAAAAAAAAACCAAAAAAAAAAAAAAAAAAAAAAAAAAAAAAAAACACAACAAAAAAAAAAAAAAAAAACCAAAAAACACCAAAAAAACCAAAGCAAAAAACGAAAAAACTACACAAAACCCCCACCTTTGTGTATGAGTTAGAGAAGACACATGCCTGGCAGATGGATAAATTAGAGAACTTCTGTAGTAAGAAATCAGCTTTTTCTATACACTCATTGCCTAAAATCACTGTTTAAAAGCCGTTAGTTCTGATACACTCAGAAATATCCAGATTTGTGGGAAAAACTTGTATTGGTTTTAGAGAATTCTGCTCATATAGTATAATTAAAAATTCCCAGAGGTTCTCTGATTTTTATTTCATATCACTATATGGAAAATCCTTCTGATATTTAAAACGTGTTTTCACAAAAAAAAAAAGATTATTTTTGTGAATGTGTTATACATTTTTGGAGTGCTTAAAGGAATTTGTAGTAGTCTTATTATAGAGTAATGAACTGCTACCCTCTGCTACCATTTTCTGTATAGCTGTTTCTTTACCAAAATAATCTCCTTGGTATCTGCATCAGTAACCTCCTTAGGTCATGTTCGTTCCACTTGAGTCACCATCTTTTCAGTTCAAAATGTAATGTTGCAGATCACTAGATCAAGATCATCATTTTACGCCTACTCACAGCAGCATCTCTAAATCTTGAACAAAATGATAAGAGTACATGTCAGCAACAGCTTTAGTAATAGCAAAATCAGCAGAAAGTCTTACAGGGGAAAAATGTAGAAATTTTTTGTTGATAAATGTAAAACTCCTAGCCTTCTCCATGGGTTTAAATACTGGAGCATTCTACCAATAAGGGGGAAAAAGAGGCATTTTGTGTGGAAATGTTTACACCAAATACAAAAATAGTTGGACAAGGGGGATATGTTTGGGATTTTCATCTGCTTCTGAAGCAATTTTCACTTTGTTTATACGAAAAGTCCTGCATTTATACCTAGCTAAAATAAATACATTGCATTCATAGTCTCAGACAATCTTCATTACTTCATGTAGCCAATGTCAGCTTGTTCAGCTTCTAGGTATTTCTGTTTGACTTAAAATATTGGGTGGCAAATAATATTGCTATTCAAATATTATTTTTCATTCAATGTCCTTGCTGTGTCATTAGTCGTTAGTCATCAACAATGCAAAAAAAGTGAGAATGTCAATCAGGTTTCTACAAAAATCTTGATTTATAAGTCATTAGCAAGGAACTGAAATATGCTTAATTTTAGAAATAGACAAAGTTTAAGAGCAGATAATTAGATGATCATGTGAAGGATTTCACCAAAACAGTTTCACAAATTCATGTGATTACAAATGGCAACAAAAACAAAGAAATAAAAATTTGTATTTAATGCAATGGTGTACTGCTCTGTTGATAAAGGTGAAATTGTGAGAGCTAGTACCTTAATGTTTCATCAGAAACATGGAGTGGTATGATCATCTTCATCCCTGATGCATGCACAGAGGAATTGTCAGCAGCAGTTGGACATTAATGCAAAATTAACCTGATCATCTATGGCATTTAATTTCTGAAGGTTTCTTTCTCTGTAGGTTTCTCATTACTTCATAGACTTTGATTAATCAGGGTTTATAATGCCCATATGCACAATACACAGAACTAATTTCATCCAATGCCCAGCTGGGTCCTAAGTAGAATTTAAGTTAGGAAAAAAAAGTTTAAATGTACCCAGAACATCAAGAAATATTATTATGTTCTTACCAGAAATTATTTGTGCTGCCACAGTCATGGAATAGTTTTTTAATTTACTACACACTTTTCTTTATCATGCAAATAGCTATTAAATTAATTCTATCTCACCTCACTATGTCTTCTTCATATGCTCTCTTCAGTGCTACCTCTTGAAATTAGTTAGTTCTAGAGCTCTATCTATCTGAGAAATAGGAGTCTGTGTGTGCCTAGAGGAATTGTCGGGGTGTGTAGTACTTTTATGGTAAAATCTTCAATATTACGTGTATTTGCTTTTCTTTCATCTTTACAGTTTCATACCTAGTATCTTAAAGACAATCTGGTAAGTAATTTATTTCCTCTTTATTAGACCACTGAAAAATCACTAGTGATACATCAGTGAAGGAAAAAAAAATAGAATAAATTGTAAAATATAATTTAATATACTTTTTAATATAATTCATATTTGTATTTGGATCTATGTGTGTGTTATTTATTCTGTGGTATTCCATCTTTGTTTTTTTGTTGGAAAATATGTCTATCTCTGCATAATCAGCAGATATGCTTCGCCTCAAAATGAATAATGAATTTTTCTTTTATTTATTTTATTCATATCTTCACATTAAACCTGTATCTCCAATTTCCATAAATATATATACCAGTCACTTCCCAATTGCTTCCTACCGTCCTCATGTTCTTGGGAAATTGGATTTTCTGATTTTCTGAAACACGTAATCAGAATTACTCCGGTTTGTTCATGGGGATTAGACAAAACTCCTCGTCTACAGATTTCTGACATTGCTAAAACATCCTTTCACAGCCCAGTACAGACTGGGGCTGGCAGTATTAACCAACAGAGCTCATTTCTTTGCATTTGTACAGTTTGGAAGTTGCTTCAGTTAGGAGTTGGCTCTGTTGACTGCCATCCACTAGTTATAGTAGAGAGGAGAGTCAAAATAATTACTGTTATTTAAGAGGTCTTTTCTTGTCTGAATTGCAGTCTAGTATTATATTCATATTCTTGATAAAAATTATTTTATAGGACTGACACTATTTCACTTTGTGTTGGTGATTTTTGTCCTTATTCTCATTCTCATTTTTATTGTTAGTATTCTATTATTCTATCATCCTCATCCTCATCCTCCTCCTCATTATCATTAGAAATTAGCAAGGCACTTTATTGGATAAACAGAATCTAAGCAGTCCAGAAACTCCTGGATTATGTTCTCAGTTTATAATATAATAAAATATTGTGGCAACTCAGACTTAGCCAATATTAGAAAATTTGTAGCTAAGCATAATTCAGACTGTTATGCAAATACAATTTTCTGAAATCAGAAGGGGAAAACTTTTAAACTGTACTTTTTACCATTGAAGTAAACAGCTTTACAAAATTCATGCACTACAGGTCTAGCTTTTAACATAAATAGATCCAACATATAAAACATTGCAACTTCATGAATATGCATCATAATATGCCCTGCACCACCTCCAAGAAACTGTATCAAATAAACTGTATATTTTGTTCTTTCAAACCCAAGTATTAATGAATTTACAGCTGTTTATTTTAAACTAGGATCAAAAAGATGTCTCTCTAAATTGAATGCAAAATTTTGTTCATATGTCTTGTGTCTTAATAAAACTGGAAGGGAATTTAATACATCCAGTTGTAGTGTACATTATTGCTCCTCTGCTACACTTATATACAAATTGAATTTAAATTATGTCTTTTTTAGTCCAGTTAACAAAACTATTGCTTTCATGATGTTTGTTTGAACTTGGTTCATTGCTTGTTGGTGCCACATAATGAATGAATCTTAACAGAATTATTTTCCATGGAATTACAACATTTTATTATAATCTAAAGGGTTAGTTCCAAAGAGTAAAGCTTCATAATTATGTTGATATTTTTGGTAGAATTTGTAGGATATTTAAATTTTGAAAGTGAAGCACTGTTATGTGTATGTTAAAATAAAGTGTTAAAATAATTTCAGATGAATTATTAGGTTATTCTCTTAAGCATTAATTTAAATGTATCTATAATTTTGATATTTGTAGTTCTGCTTTTGTGTCTTATCAGGAGCTACAACTATTGAAAAATATGATCTCAGAACAAACATATGGATTCAGGCTGGAGTAATGAATGGCAGGAGACTTCAGTTTGGTGTTGCTGTCATTGATGACAAGCTGTTTGTCATTGGAGGCCGGGATGGTTTAAAGACATTAAACACTGTTGAATGTTACAATCCAAAGACCAAGGCTTGGACTGTGTTACCACCTATGTCAACACATAGACATGGCTTAGGTAAGAAAAAAGTATTTTTAAACATGACACTTTTTTTTTTTTTTATGTAACTTTTATTGGAAAACTCAGTACTTTTAAGCTCTGGTAGCATTCCGACCAGTAACAATAACTGGGCTTTGCAACATGATAAAAAGAACTATCCTGCCTCCGCAAGGTTTGCATCTTATTGGCATCCAGTGGTGGGTGGTCACCCCTCTGATTTATGTCGAGCAGAGGCTTCACCATCACCCACCCAAAAATTCACCTCCTCCCACTTGGGAGGGTGCACCTTGTGGGGTACAAACCTTGGTCTAGCAAAGCACCCTACCACCTCACAAATGGGAAAATGTTTGACCCATTAACCATTAACATCTCAGACTCTCACAGACACATGTGGGGATAAAAGTGTTAAAAGTGGGAGAATGGCAAGGAGGATGTATGGCAGATTTGCTCAAGTGTCCTTGCTGCCTGGAATGCCAAGGCTTGGAGAATGACACTGTGGGAATGCCATATATATGTTATGACTGCTGCTCTATCTATCTATCATCTATCTATCTATCTGTTATCTCTGTTTTGAGAAGTAAAATTTCTGTGTAGACATAACATAGGTGTTTGGAGAGGCTTATGGACATGTTTGAGCTCCCTGTTTTTGGGAGAGAGGTCATAAAAAGCCCAGAGGAGATCCCAGCACATTGGTAAACTATGCATGCATGGATGCTTAATAAATGGGTGCAAGCAGCAGCCCAGCCACCTGCTGGGATTGCATTCCTGCCTGTGTGTCTCTGCCTGGGTGTTGCTTTGGCATCCACTGGTTAGGAAGGTAATAAATAGGAAAGAAATTTACTCTTTGCATTTCAGCAGTGGTTTTGTGGTTATTCTGGCTGCCTGCCAGTGTTGACTCATGCAACACATGATGTTATCCTGTCCATTCCCCTGAGCTGCAATGAGCAAGTTCTTTGTTGTACTATTGCAATATCTCACAAAATGACCATGCTTTCCTGCCCTTCACTCGTGTCATTGGACACTTGCAATATGCGTATGTACTGTTGCTGTTAAACAAGTCTTATAATAGAAAATAGCAATGGGAATCTATATCAGATGGCATCATGGCACTGAATATCTCACTGATTTAAAAGTGTTTCCTAAGTTTAAATTTAATTGTAAATTAGAAAATACACGAGAAAATACACTAATTACATGCAAAAATACATCATGTCTTTTCTGCCAATGCTCAAGAATTTTACAGAATCAGTGCTGTTTCCCAGGGTGGTAAACATGCCATGGCTTCAGCCATAACTACAGGAAAGTAGTAATACAACATTAGGGTATGCTAAACAGAGAAAATATTTGTCTCAGTGACAAAAGAGATGAATCTATGATTGAAAACCCTTGGTGATCAGTTAAAAAAATTAATTCTGGACTATAATTGTGCAGATGATTTTGGTTAACAGATTTAAAAAATACTATTGTAGTTTAAGTTGAGGAATGTTGAGATTATGACTGGAGAAAAACTGGTATACTTTCTATACTAGGAAAAAAGAAAAAAACTAGGCATTTGACCATTTGAGGGGTTTTTTTCCTTTACTATAAAATAATTTTTGAATTTTTATGTTGAAGTAATTCAGGCTTTTTCTAAACAACATGTAAAATGAGAAAAGAAGTCTAAATTGGGATGATTAAATGCAGTTGTTTGGGAGGTATTAGAAAGGTGTTCTTTATCTGCAATTATGTACTAATCACATTATTACCTGAGAAGTTTAATTGATAGAATTTAATTGCTTTTTTAATTTTAATTTTTTCTAATAACCCATAAAGTTATTTCATTAAATGCCTTTTATAATGAAGGTTAATCTGAAGTAATACATCTTTTTTTTATTTGTTTTTTAAACTATGTTATGTTATATCCGTGTAGTAATAGTGCTAGAGCAGTTTGAATTGGATTTTGTATACAGGATGGAAGCACCCATCCTTTACATGGATGGCTTTTTGTTGACTCAGCAAAAAAATTGTCAGATGTACTCCATTGTAACTAAGGGCACAACCAAATAACACAATTCACTTTCTCCTGTATTCATATAATCTTCAATAGAAGCATGTGTACAGAAGCTGATGCATGTAGAAATGAGGAAATAAAAGTTGACAAGCCTTGTAGTGAAAGTCCATAGTGTAGGAAGTCATATGTTAGGCAGTTTCAAAGCTGCCAATTGAAAATGATTGAAAGCTCTTTTAATGGCATTGTTTGAAATAAGTGGTACTAAAGTGCAAAAAATAAAGGGCACACTGTGGGATCCAAAACTATTATTTAAAGTAATAGTGATTCTAATATCCCTGTTGAGTAGTCCATAAAACAGAATGGAGTATGAAAGAGCAATAAGACACCAGAAAGATGGTGAAAGGCAAAAAAGTGAAATATGGGAAAGGTGAAACCTGGCAAACAGGAAGACGAAATCAAAATCCGTATAGAAAAGGAAGAAAGAGACTGAAAGGACAAAGATGTGAAAAATGTAAAACAGATTCTGCTTTATTAATTCAGCAGTTTTATGAAGCAACACTGTATCCACTTTTTCAATTTCTGTGCTGAACTTAATAGTCTACGTAGAAGAGGAGAGAGAAGGGAAATATGGAACCAATGCTAGACTAATGAGAATTTAGATATCAAATCCAGTGAAACTGTGATTTAAAAAAAAAAAAAAAACAAACCAAACAAAACAAAACAAGACCCCAAAAAGCTAGAAAAAAATTGGTATTTGGCTTATCTTTACAAAAGAAATTATTTAAGTGCCACAGTGAGAAAATTAGGCTTCCAATATAATTAGGGGAGAATAGTAGTTTTTTCATGTAAATGTTCTAAATTATCCTTTCCATGAACTATATAAAGTGTGTCTAAGCTTCTATTTTAGGTTTTTGGCTTTGAAAATATACTGATCTCACTATCCATAGTCGAACACCTCTTTGCAAGATGACCAGCATGGGAAGGAGGCTGACAGGTCATGGTATTACCTCGTAAAATCCTGTGCAGCTTAGAGTGGAGGCAAATTTTCCTCCTCCCCTCTTGGAAGAGAGAATCTTGCCAGGTGTAATCATCTGAGTGAAAGTGCTATAAAAATATTAATAGCTGATGGGAAGGCCATAGGTTTGTTTACATATTATATAGGCCTACTGTAGACAGAATTCACTCTACCCAGAGTGAATGGTCATAGAAGACTTAAAGAATTTCTAATTCTCTGTTTATACAGTGGATTAGGCTTCAACCTATTCTTCTGAAGAAACAAAATATGTAATGTAAATGCATTTTAAGGGACCTGAGGGTTATGACTGAAATTAGAGTGAAAACTTGCTTATAATGTGGTTGTCATGAAACTGGTATGTGCAGGAATGAATATCTAAAAGACTAAGTTCAAAACACAGAAGTGGAAAGAGAATACATGTAGTTAGGGAGTAACAAGACAAAGTATCCCAGAATATCTCAGATATTGCTAACAAAATATCAAATTGCACTATGGGTTTACACAAAGGCCAAGTTCTATATTTCACTAAAAGGGAAATACACCCAATGTGCTTCTTAGACCTAGCTTGATTCTCAATTTTCACGCTTTCTGCTCTAGCGTCCAACTCATGAGTCAGAGGGAAGGAAAAAATTTTACTTGGGAAAAATACAGGAATTCCTCTCTACTTTTCAAGTAGAAATGGAAAATGCTAATAGAGGGAAAGATTGTGGGAAAACTGAATTATCAGTATTCTTACTACATAGTAAATCTCAGAAGTAAAATAGATGTATAAATATAAGTAATAAAAATAACACAAAAGTATAAAAATCTAGACATATAAATTACTTATTATCTGCCTGTATATTTTTTAACTCACTAAATTATAATTTAGAAAATATTTTATCTACCTTTAAAAGTATTCAAGTGTTGATTACTTCATTGATTCAAAATTAGTGAATTCTTTAGAAGTAATGTTTGTATTTTCAAAAGGAATTAATACTTATCAAATAATTTTGCATTGTGTGAAAGCTTAGAGCATAAATACAACTGCACAGTTTTAGAGATCTAAGAATTTGTGTAGGATTCAGCAGCCTAAGTAGGTATATGTACAATGGAGTAGAGCAATTGTGATGGCATAATCTGATTTCCATGGGAATAAGAAGTGTAGCATGTTTAGAATTAAATTATTTGTGGCTTGGAAACAGTTCTTGCTTCTCAAGGTGCAACAAATACATTGAGTAGACTGGAAACTAAGAATCTGGTAATGCAAAAATAACTTAGATTCCAGTTGCACTGGCACTTTTAAAAAGAAAGCCAACGGTGTTTTATTGGGTATTTATGCCTGTATATGTGTATGATTTGAGAGATGTCAAAAATATTGATTCTAGAAAAACTATTGAAGATACAAAATTAAACAAAAAAATACAGTAAATTTTTATGAACACTTCTATTTAAATAAAGCTAGCATAGTAACGAAGTACATAATGTCTTAAAGAGCTAGCAGTAACAATGTAGCATCAATGGAACTGCTTGCTTAAATTACAGTTTAGTAATTTCTGGTGGAATTATTCCTTCATAAAGCAGTAAGTTGAACAAATATATTCTGTATAACATTTCTCTGTATATATTGACATGAAGCAGATATTTTTAATCCCATTGCTCTCCCTTGGTGAAGTAAATAATTTCTGGCAATAAATTTGTAAAATTTCAATAATTTTTTAAAATAAGCCTGCAGCGCAATAACAGAAAAAGTATCAGATACTAGAAACCTTAATAGATCCATAATAGCAAAACTAGTATTGGATTGCACTGAAACAAGTGAAGGAGAAACACATAGGTAAATCATATTTGATACTATAAATTTATAATTAAAAGGTCATTGCAATAAAATTATATATATTAAAGATGCATTTTACAAGATGAATGTGGAAAGTAATCACCTCTAATTTATTTTATGCCAAATATTTTGTTAGGAAACAAAGCCTTTGAGGAATGAGTGCTACTAAGTGATTTTTTAAAACAGTTCCATCAGGA